TATTTGGAAACTTACATCACTTATATTGATTAAGTTTGCTTTAGCCAGAATAATGTCAGGTGTATCAGGCATGATATGGATTTGAGTCTTGTCCTTGTCCCAAGCTTCTCTATAAAGTCTCTAAAATGAGAAATAGGATTTTTTTCAGTGGTATTGTTATATTAGTGAATGACATAGTTGACTTCAAACTGAATTACTGAATTCATCTGAATTAAACATGATAAGTGATAACATAAGCAGACAACATAAGCAAAAAATAGACGCAGTATTTCTTGACTTATCTAGGACATAATTGTCTTTCAAAATATGGACTGTGCATCACCCTTTTTAACTTTTTCTTTTTTCCTTTGATGGCTGGCTGGTAAGGGGATCCAAACCTGTGACCTTGGGGTTACAAGACTGGACTCTAACCAACTGAGCTAACTGGCCATCCCAGCATCACCTTTTCATAGTTACAGATCATCCTTTCGGTAATTAGAACCTTTTCCAGTATTATCAAATGGAACAGAGTTCTCCATCTTCTGGGATGTAAAATTCCCCCTTAGTATTTAACTGGGAGGTAGGCTTCACCTTCCCAAAACATGACTTATTCAAAGTATGCCTAGAAATTAGGGAGTCTCATTTCCTATGTGGGATATTATTTGTAGTTATTCCTCATAATTATATTAGAGGACTAGGATTCCCAAAAGGATTTTGTTTGTGAATTTATCAAATTCTCTTGGATGTCCCAGAGACAACCTTATGTCTGTCATCAACAGAAGACAAGGGGACCCAAACAAAAATATTATTGATTTACTAAAAGTAGGGTGTAAAAGTCTGATGAAAAACAAGATATTTACATAGTATCAAAAAATCTCCCCACATGTTGCTTATCAACTACAAAGGATACAGTGGTAACTTGACATTGGAGGAACATGGCAATACCACTTTAATGAAGTAATCAAAGTTAAAATGATCAGTAATGGGACAAATTGATATCTTGTGCCTCCCGATACAAGGTACCGAGAAGGACACAATGTATGATCTCTTGCTGAAAAGACAAAAAACTGCATCTAATCATGAGACACA